GTCTCTATGTTTGGGGTAGTTTGTTACATTATAGGGGTGGTTCTGATTTCTGAGCCTGGCAGGATTTCTGATACGTTTTTTTCATGATGTAATGAGGTAAATGAGCTAATGGTACCTCAACGCTTCCAGAAACGTTAAAAGAAACACTTAAATCCTGCAGAGACTTCTGTATTTATGCTTTGGAAGAAACGTGATGCTTTAAAGTTTTTACGGCTGGACGGTTTAATCTCATGGGAGGTCAAGCGCATCATTTTCAGACCTGTGATGAACGACTCAGGAACACCTGGACAACCGAAGTGAAGCTGCCGAGACAGAAACCTCTTCCATAAACTCATGAGAATAAAGCACAAAATAGTTCATCACAATTTAAAATCACTTCGTGAAATGTTTCTAAATGATGTTATCACTTAGAAACATTTGTCCCTGAGTTTTGTTTAAAYCTCCCCAGTTAGTTAATGACTCTTTTGTGTTTTTTTACGAGTACACACAGTTTGTGTCTGAAGAGAGAGGCAGTGCTACCTGAGCGCCCATAATTGGTCTTAAAATGTAGTTTTATTGCTCCGTTTTCAGACGAGGTATGCTTTGTGTTCAGCTGTGATGCAACTACATATTTAAGCGGTGAACTAATGTCGAAGAAATAATAATCAAAGAATGCAGGACAAATGAAAAAGTACATTCTAGGAGCCGTGTCTGCTCCGGTTCTGTGCTCATTATTACACGTGTGACATCAAGATAAACAGACGAACATACATTTACATTTACTGGTCACCCACATTCTTAACCCAAACCATGTGTTGCTTCARGTTTTGATATTTGATTCAAATTCATAAATTTGACACTAATGCCCCAAATCCCCCTGCATATGGAGTCTTTTGGTTATGTAAACATTTTTCTCCTCCAACACTTTTGTCTCAGCTTTTAGCTTTTGTATCCTTTTGACAGCATAAACCCTCAAAAGATGAATTAACTCATTTTCAGTGGAAGTCAAATCTCCAGTCTCAGTCTGAAACCTGAGTCTGACAGCAAAATGAGGAGTAAGAGCCTCCAACAGAGGAGGGTGTAAAAGGAATCAGTATGTTTCTACACAGAGTTWAAAAAAATACACCTTTTTATGTATTCTGAGTCAGTCAGTTCTGGTGATGTAATTACACCCTACCTGCATACGTAAACACAGACAGGAACATTAAAACGGCCTCGTCAGTAAGAGCAAGAGCTCTGTTTTTGTTTTGCTAGCGTAGAGTTGTCAACATAAGTCAATGGAGATACAGTTTCATCAGTCCTGTGATGACAGAGCCTCATTCAAATGTATGCAAGTGTGAACGCTGTGAGAGAAAGACTTTTGATGGACGTTTGAGTCTTCAAAATTTGCAAAAGGTGCATGAAAACAATCCGATATTTAAAAACTCACATCTTTTATAACTTTAAGATGAATCACATCGTTAGCTCCACTGTTAGCAGATTAGCATTTTTAACTATGTGGGAGTTTTCTTTTGGGTGTGGGCTTAGTTTTAGTAATACTGATTAGTTGGATTGATGTGTGGAATAAGTGGAAAAGATGTGAWGTATAATAGTAACAGTAAAATTATTGTGAACACGCAAATATACTTTACTGACTCACCTTCCTGTCTTAATTTATGGCTAGCATGCTCACACCCAACAAACTTCCACTTGAGGCTGTTTTATACATGGAGTTGCACATCTTGTTCCCCCTGCTGCTATCCCCCGGGGCTTTCATGTACATTGCCCCCATCAGAACTCTGCGATGTGGACCCTGTGGCTCAGAGAGTGTGATTGGTCAGAACTTCATGGGTTTGTTCATGAGGAGCAAGGACCAGAGCAGATTTTCCTTCTGCAGGTTATTTTGTTTAAAATGATTTTTTTCTCCGAAGCTAAATTTATTTTCTATTTAAACATAAAAACAGCATTTTAATAACAGCTAAAGGTGACATAGATACTTTATTGTGGCATAGTATTTAAATATATGCCTGAGAAACACATAATATTGTCCCTTTAACAAAAAAAGTGTTTCCTCCGCAGACTCTTCACCCAACACAACACTGATCGTTGAGTGAAAAAGCACATTATCCAGCCATCATTGTTGTTTATATACGAACTGCAGGAGGGCGGAATTATGATCATTTAAGGACACCCATATGGCCCACTATGTCTTCAACCCGTTTATACTCGGTCAGGAAAAAGACGTCCGAAATGATGCAATCACCTCCTGCTGYCTCATGTCGTATTGAATATGGAAGAAAATAGCTGYCTTTAATYAAGAGYGTATATTTTCARTTTGAGAGCAGGAAATATACGCTCTTGGATTAAGTGAGGATAATTCTCCCATAATTGAAGTGTAAGTTTAGTGATGGCAGAGACTCTTACTTGGACATATTAGCTTGCGCTATATTAATTTTTACAAACTATAAGTCTGTTAACAAAAACAACTATCTGCTCACACATTTTGTGCCTTGTCYAGCTTTAACATTTTTCARTTCAGCTGCTTGTGGTTTTAACAATGTTTTTGGACATAGAAATGTTTTTATGAGCTTTTGGCCAAGATAAATGCTGACATTTCGGTGAATACCAAATGTTTAAATGACAGACATTACGTTAGCATTAGCCTCCCAAAAAATTCTTTACCTGTTTTGTGGTTTAGCGTTTGCAAAGCTAATTTTTTTCATAGCGGTTAACAAAGATAACTTTTATTTGTTCCTACCACTGATCAAGTTAGATTCAAGCTTTTAAAGTTTGTTTATATATTTTTAAAAACGTGTTTTTTCTTCACAACCATCTTTTCTTTGACAGTCTCATTTTCGTTCTTTGTTTTCTTTAACGCATTTTTTCCAATATAAATACATTTTCAGCAACACGTCTTTCTGTTTTTCCCCTCTCCTCATAGGTAATTGGGTGTGAGCTCAAGGTTATCAGTCTCCTAACATTTTAGTCACCTCATAGTAAAACTATTTCATGTTTGAATTCTGGCTTCCTGTGTGACCTAATTTCATCTCACTGTGCAGAAAAATGTGCATCAGCTTAACTGATGGATCTAAGACGACTAGAAGCAAAGTTTAGGCATCTATTTTAGTTGTCAGTGACAATAGAAAAATAAAGCTGCCTTGTTTTTTCTTCTTTTTGCAGTATCAGTTTTTATTTTGTTACTATTAATTGCTATTGTTCTGCTGTAGACATGACATCATGTTGTATAAATTCGGTCCGTTGCACCAGGAGTCCAAAAAAAATTACATCTTTTTAAAAYTGGGCACAGCAAAAAGGGATCTGCTGCCAACAGTTCTTTAAMGTGGTTAAGGTGCTATTATTAACATAAATATAGCAGTAATGTGGTAATATGTTGTGATTCATTCAAACTCTGACAGGCATCCTCACTACAAACAGGCTCATGTTCACTCATCTACCTGCTGTGTACTTCCCACATCCGTCCACACGCCCTGCAGAGCTCTCATTC